TAAAGGTGCCACAGGACCCTCTGTTGCTTTTTACAGTATGTGAAGTTCCACTTGGATAAGGGGTCAGCAAGGATGATGCTGTTGATAATAGTGGGTAGGTCCCTGGCTCTACCTCAGCCCTGCCTTCAAAGTACCATGGAAGTACATCCCCATCAGAGCTAGAGAAAAGGATCTTTTATGGGATCCCAGGGGCAGAGAGACACTATGGCAGACATGGCATTTCCATTCGGTCCCCCCCACCCTCCCAACCTCCCTGATTTACCAGTTTTTCCCCTCCTCCATTTGCAGAGCATCCTCTACCCGTTGCTTTTTAAATGGTGAATTCAGTCAGGAGCAGAATGACTCTGGAGGGCTAGCTGTAGTGTTCGTTGTTTGTGCACACAGCAAAAATACAAAACCATTTGTCACAATTCAACACAAACAGCACACTCTGTTCAAGAGAGGCTGCTGCAGGCAGAGATGAGATGCATTTGGTACAGCTGTGATAGGAAGCAACGGAACCAAATGCTTTGGGTTCCTCACTTTCAGGCAGGGCCGGCACTTCCATTTAGGCGACCGAGGCGGTCGCCTAGGGCACCAGGATTTGGGGGGGCGGCATTTTGCTGCCGTTGGCAGCAATTCTTCGGCGGGGGGGTCCTTCCGCGCTCCGGGTCTTTGGCGACAATTTTGCTGCGGGTCCTTCGCTCGCTCCGGGACCCGCCGCCGAAGTGCCACGAAGACCGAGAGTGTGGAAGGACCACCGCGACGCAGAATTGCCGACGACGACCAGGAGCGCGGAAGGACCCCCGCCTAGGGCTCCAAAAACCCTGGCGCCGCTCCTGCTTTCAGAAGCACTAAATTAACACACATCCTGATAAATTTTCTTACCATCATTCCTAAAAACTGCATGTGGCATACCATTTTATTATAGAGGAATATCAGCAAAATACCAATATTTAGACATGGAGCTGGTGACAAACTAAGCAAAGGGACTATAGGAAAACTGTGGTTACAATGAGTAGTATGGATGTTGCAATGCAATGTAATGTACTATCTTTTTTTATTTCAATACGGAGTCAGAGGCACTTGCCCCATCATCTTTGAAAAATATCTTTATTTAATGGAGGTTGTTTGGACTCTGCAGAATGTGCTTGCTGCCATGAATGGGTACTTTGCTGTGCCTTATGTTCCCCTAAAGAGGGCAGATTTGACTTTGCCAAACCATCCTTTGCACCAGCTCTGGGTGTGCCATAACAAATTATATCCCCTTTCCTTCAAGCTAAAACCTACTTGGCCTCTGCAAGTCCTTTAGACACCACTCTTGCTGTAGAGCCCTACATCTGTTTCCACCATGTTGCATGCTTCCCTCAGCTGCCATTCCATTTTTTTGCACCTTTGCTATTGGTACAGATTCTGTTGTGCTCTAGTCCTAAACATCGCTAATCCAGAATTTAGCCTTACAGTATGGAACTTTAATTCAGAAGGTGAAATTTACCCCTGTGCAGAGGGCTGGCATGAAGGCAACTCACCACATCCATCCTCAAAATAGGGCTTCATTAAAACATAAATGGTGCATCCTGCTTGTGCAGGCCCTCTGCACAGGGTGGATTTTACTCACAAGGGTTGCTGCTCATCATCTCAGGAAACTATCTGCGTAATGGCCATAGAACTGGGTTTTCTTTTTCGATTGTAGATTTCATCACTGAAGATGTATTTTCCCTCAGATTAAGTGAAATTGCTTAGGAAGGAGACTATGCTGTAAAATTAGGCTTTACATGCCTTACCTATCTCCATCTGTCTCTCTCTTAATTGGCAATTGAATGCTTTCTATAATGTACAGGTGCAGTAAAGAATTTGTCTTCCCTTTTAATTAAAATACAGAATGTAGATAATAGCCTGTTCTAATTTCAATACACGATGTGCGAATGCAATTACTGATAAAGCTGTAATATATTACAAAGAAGACTTGCTAGAGTTTTCTTCCTTTTACAAATCTGTGATCTAAACAGCCAGGAAATTACATTTACTTTGTTTCTGAATGACTTTTGTCAGTCTAAATATGGACAGTCCTATTTATTGCAAAACAGTCTTCATCCGTATTTGTTAGGAAAAAAAAAACCCTGCAGTTTCACATTGATGGATACGCAGCCCCTCTTATTAGCTTCTCATGAGCACTTGTGCTAGCAAATATCTATTTGCAAATATGTATTTGCATGAGTATTCACACCAGATACTTTTATGTGGCCATACTGGTAGATTTGAGTTAGCCAGTCAGGGAGCAGGAATCACTACCATATGACTTAGGCCTTGTCTATATGAGAAAAGTCCCACCAGTTTAAACAATTTTAAATCAATCTAATTAAACCGGTTCAAACTCCCAATGTAGACACAACAGTTCCATGTTTAAATTGATTTAATTTTCATTGGAAAATTACCAGATTATGATAAACTGATTTAAATATGGGTTAAAGTATGGGTTCAGATCCATTTAGCTAGATCTATGTAGTTAAACTGGGGCAACTTCTGTCATATAGGCAATGTCTTAGGTGATCAATCACAACTAAGTAATGAATTAGGAATAGTAAATGATCAAAGTAATAATCATGACACACAATTTATGAGCAATCTGGGTGAAAATGTTTGCAAAGGCCATTCACTAAATAATATTTATCAAATTAATAAAATCTGTCTATTTGTAAATAATGAATGAACTGGGGGGAAAAAAGACGTTAACATCATATAGGACTAGATTGCAATAGACTTATTCACAATGAATAGTACCTTTAACTTCATTGGTACTTCCACTTAAGTCAATTGTAGAACTTGTGAAAGAAATGGCTTCTAAACTGGAGCCATGGATATCAGAAATCTGGCCCTGAATAAGTATGTTCTCTGTGAATAGTTTTCTGAGCTCCAGTTTTAGGTATAATTCTAATGGAGTATTCCAAGGTTAATACTACCCACTTCCAGATCTTCTCTTGGCTAAGTAAGCAATGCCCCAAAGAGACAACCTTAATTCCTTGATTTCTTTTTCTTCATACTCTTTTTGTTGGCCATATCTTTCATGCTGGAGCAGTGCCTACATTCAGATTTCTGTCAGATACAAGATCTATTACTCAGATCTCTAGATATATTAAGATAAATGTTCTCACACAACAGTAAATTGTGTTACCATTGTAGCCCTAATAGTTCAATTGTTTAATCTAAAACAGGCTCCCATTGCAAAAGCTAGAGGTGGGGAGAGCAAAGCCTAGAAAGTGCTGTGAATATGAGGTGTCTGGTGGTTTTATTTTGCCCTTATACAAGTTATATGTATTCTGTGTAAAATTTGCAGCTATTTTATTGGTTGATCTCGAAGGCCAAATAAATAGATTCTGCAAATACAGTTCCATTTTGTTAAGTATTTCAGCTAACTAAATCCAGTGAGACTTTCTAGAGTTTTACAAAACTAACGGCTGGAAATCTGAGAATCAAGGTAACAGCAAAGTTCAATTTGCAAAAGTTAGCCAGTGAGAAGTAAATGGGTGAAATTGGCAGCACTGGGGAATGACTGCATTTGATTTGCTTTAGGCTGCTGAGATAGCATGGGAAAGTTGGCATTTGAACCTGTACTAATCAAATCACTCATGGCTGTCCTCTGAGAGATTCCCACATGTGCCTAACACTTTGATTTTGTAAAGAAGCCTTAGGAAGC